AAATGAGCATTACATTCCGCGACAAGTTATTGCACCTCACATAAAACAGGAGATGAAAGAGTACAACTCTAATAATTTTGTAGCACATGGTACCCAGAACATGGGAGGCAGTCAGTAAATGGGCAGCTATTATTCCCTCAAGCTTTGTTTTTGAGCAACAAAATGTTTCATTTTAGTATATCTGAGAAATGTTCACAATTAAGAGTCATTAGTTGGGGTGCATTACCTAGTACCACAGGTAAAAGCTCTTGGTAAGTAAGAACATACTACTAGTCAACAGGAGAATTACAGGAGCATTTATAATTTAATAGCACATAAACTAGTTTGGTAACTCAAATATCAATGACATATATTATTAAACCCACCGCTTTAATTCCACAGATTACTGTAGTGTTTCCCAGCTTGACTAATGCAGAACCATCTGCAGTACTAATTGAACCTGAAAAAAAAATAAAGTCTGTAAAAAGTTTTCTATATTTACATATATCTTGCTATGCATCTCAGTTATTTAAATATTTATTCCTTACAAGAGTCAGTTTAAAACTGTATATTTAAAATTGCTGTTTTAATACGGAGGTTTTTCAAAATATTAAAAATAGATCTTCCATATGACCCAGCAATTCCATTACTATGCATTACCTGAAGAATGCAAAAATACTAAATGTCTACTGCAGCCCAAGGGCAGAGAGGTGGATCAGAAAACATTGGATACATAAAACAAAAAATTCCTGCCATTAGAAACTGCATGGATGGAACTGGAAAGGGTCATATTAAAGGAATTAAGTCAGAAGGAGAAAAGCATGCTAGATGGTTTCATTTATATGTGAAATACAGAGAAAAAGTCAAGACAAAGCCATACCATTAACAAACCCTTTTCATCTGCCTGCTAGCCCTAGGCAAACAGAAGGTAGGGAGGTGTAGCAGGAGCAGAGAGGGAGGAGGTCGACTGGAGCACAGCAGAAAACTACTGGGCGTTGGTGCTAGACATGGGGTGAAAATATTTTCAGAGGTCTGAAATATTAACCCTTGAAAAAAATTCAGTGATGTAAACAACTACTCAATAAATATAATTTGATGAGGAAAAAAAATAATAAACCACTATTTTAAGAACTATTCATGTATCCTGAATGAGTTAATCATTTCTCATTCAGATACAGGATTGTTATACGAACAAAATTCTCAAAATCGATCAAATCCTTTAACCTGGTAGAATTTGGCTAAACACTGTTGAACTGTCCAGGGAAAAATGGACAATTTTGTTTGTTTAACAGAGGATTTAAAAGCGTAAAACATAAGAAAATCACATCTTAGAAATTTGGGAGGAAGGGAGAAAAATACACCGTGGTAGCTTCAAAATGTAATGTGAACTTCAACCAAGGAGTGAATGATTTAAAAACAATTTACAAATACAATTCTGTAACAATATATAAAAAAAATCAAACATTTTCAAAATGAGAAGCAACTTCAACATCATATTTAGAACTCAATGTATCCTCACCTATGTTGATAGTCGTTGTTCTGAATTCACCAAGTTCTCTTCCATCAGGACGGCAATTCTCTTTCTACAACATGTGGTATTTAGAAATTTTTTTTATTAAGTATTTACATCTACATGTATATTTTACACTAGGAAACAATAAGCCTCATTAATTCAAATGACAATTAGAATTACCAGAAAATTGTCTTTGAAAGAGACATGGTGGGGTTCTCCCTGATGGCACAGCAGGTTAAAGCACAGCACTAAAAATCTAAAGCCACTTCAACACAATTTCATCCCTGCCTGCCCCAGAGGTAACCCAAATGGCGCAGCAGACCTCTCCTGACCTGCCTACTGCTCCCCTCAGCAGTATACTTCATGGATCTGCCTGTTTTGCTCCCCAGTCTGTCTCTGGTGAATCCTCTCACCACCCCACACCCAGACTGGCCTGTACCCCAGTTCTGTATGCATAAATAAATCTTAAAAAAAAAAAAAAAGACATGGTATGGTTATCAAAAGACATAACATGTATATAACTACCTAAACTCACCAAAAATCTCCTGTAATACTCCAAAGGTTCCACAGTTCTGAAACATAAAAAATAAAAAACAATTTTAAGAGGTGATGCAGCATATATCACCACAATTCATAACTTTAAAGTTTCTTTCATGAAGCCTGACATTTATGAAAAGTAGACACCCGTGCAGTAACAATTAATTGTTGTCCTTAACTCTGCCTGAAAACAATTACAGAACTGGCGTCCAAAGTGGGGCATCCTGAAAAGAGGATTTAATCGTGTTTATAAAAATGTCATTTGCATTCTCAAACAACGGTTCTTATCTTGGTGATCATAAAAAATTTAAGATTGTAGTCAATATGCTATAACTGCAATTTAGCATATTCAATTGTCATGATGGGTAAAAAAGTCGTCATATTAGCGGTACCTACTTTAGCAATAAGAAAGATAGGATGCTGTAATTCTAACAGTTATTAGACGAGCCATTAGATCTTATTTAAGAAAGCTAATTTTAAAACTGAACTCAGCATTTTGATACTGAGCCTTCAATATTACTGATTTTTTTTTGTAATCTCATTCATTTTTACCCTTTAAAAACTTGACTATGACATAGAAAATCTCCATCAGAATAGCAACAAAAGAAAACCTAACAAATAAGGGATTTTTTGTTGTTGTTAGAAATATGCAAGTACATAAGATGTAGTTCTGATGCAGCATTTTTTAAAAGATTATATATGTCCACTAACAACATGGCAGAATAAACAGATTGGGATCAAGCTCTCTCCTAAAAACAACTATAAAAAAGGACTGATATGAATATACACTGGAACAATGAAAAGCTCTTCAGTAAATGGAAAACTGGACTGAAATATGCCAAAAAAAGAAATTAGACTGCTATCTCACAATATGTACAAAACTGAATTCAAAATGGATGTCTTGAATGTATGACCTGACACTATAAAATATATAGAAGAAAACATAGGCAAAACATTCCATGACATTAACCTCAGAAACATCTTTGAGGATTTTTTTTAGAAGCCAGGAAAACAAAGGAGAAAATAAACAGCTGGGAGTACATCAAACAAAAAAGCTTCTTTAAGACAAAAGAGAAGGTAAAGAAAGTGAAAACACACCCTAATGAAGGGGAGAAATATTTGCATAGTATGAGAGGACATACGGGATTTATACTGAAGATCTACAATGAACTTAAACAACTCAACAAAACCAAACAACCCAGTCAAAAATGCGCACAAGAACTAAAAACAAAAACCTCCACAGGAAAAAAAAGGTACCCAACAGTTATCTGAAAAATGTTCTACATCACTGTCAGGAAAATGCAAAACAAAACCACAATGAGATGCCACCTCACTCTGGTGAGAATGGGCCACATTAAAACAAACAAACAAACAAACTGGAAATAACAAATGCTGGAGAGGATGTGGGAAAAAGGAACCAACCCTCTTACACTGCTGGTGGTATTGTAAACTGGTGTAGGGGTTATGGGAAGCTGTGTGTAGGTGCCTTAAAACACTAAAAACACTAAAAATGGATGCATCAATCCACTCCTAGGAAACCACCCAAAAAACTAATTCAAAGGAAACCTGCGCTCGTAACCCTCGATGGCTCACGGGTGATGTAGTGGCAGGATAACTATGGGACTACGCCTGAGGACAGAACACAACTATTGTACAAAAGTGAACAATGACGTTAGAAAATAAAAAAAGGAAATAATTTTTTAAGTAAAATATTAAAACTGCCCCCTGGGGTTGTCAATCACTACACATCACACCAGAATTGTATATAGTTCTTTCCATCACACATCTCACGCGGGGAGGATGAACCCATCCCCTTTCAGTCCACAACCTTAAGGTCCCCCTGACCCTATCCTGGGGGAAAAAAGTAGAACCCAAATGGGATAGTCTCAAAGTGACAAAACCCCGGCTAAGGATAAAAATAAGCCGCCATCTGCCCAAGAAAAACTCGCGCCCACCAGTCGCAGATACTCACTTGAACCCAGCCGCCATCTTCCCGCCGGACTTCTGCGCTTGCGTCGTAGCGACACCCCGCCTCCAGCCCACGAGTATATTCGGCTTCCGCACTTTCGACAACAAAGCCCAACTCCATCTCATTCCTTGCAGTAAACGCAGAAGGCCGGGTAGCCACGCAATGATTCCCGGCTCAGCGTATCTTCGACCGCTTCCAAGTAAACACTCCTTTAGATGTCCTTGCCCGCAAAATGTTTTGACGAATCTACGACTGGAAAGGTGACGGCTGCCTTTTCTTGGATACGGCTGCTGATTGGGGTTTAAGAGAAAACTTGCTTTTTGGAGCAAAGGATCGAGTACTGAATGTGGAGCATTATTCCTATGTTCAGCGTTCTTTTCCCGCCTCCACCTTACGCTGGGCTCTGGGCTTGCCTCTCCCAGGTAACGGGCTTCCTAGTCCAGTACCGGAGAGTTAACGTAAACTTTGTGTGCTCTCATTACCGCAGCGGGTTGCAATTTGCAGGTCTCCCAGGGCTTCAGCAGAGCTGTTAGGTTGTAGACTATGTCATGACTTGAGGCTTCCACCTCCCTCCTAGATAAAATACAGGACACCCAAATAAATTTGATGTTCAGGTATACAGTAAGTTTTTATCGATGTGCCCGAAATAGTGCATGTTAGAGCAGGGGAAGTTTTGGCTACAGAGAGTAGTGATGGTTGCAAAGAATCGTGCATGTAATTAATGCCACAGTATTATATGTGATTAAAATGACAAACGTTATCAGTTTTATTTAATGCAATACACCAAAAACTTTTGAATGGTCGAATGGTAGGTCATATGTGTTAAAAAGCGGATTTTGAATTTTTTCCGAAAGTTGCTTATCTGAAATTCCTAGTAAGTAGGCGCCCTTAAGTTTTCCTAGTAGCCCTAAAGTGGAACGTAGCTTCTCGTGCTCTTGCCGCGCGGGGGCGCTGTGGACGGCGGGCGCCCAGCCGGCGCTTCCTCTCTAGCAGCCGGAGGCGGGGCTGCGCGGCGGCGCTTCCGCGTGTGTGTAGGTGCTAGGTAGGGCGGGCGGCGGCGGCCTGGGCATGGAGGATGGCTCCGCTCCTGCTGCAGCTGGCGGTGCTTGGCGCGGCGCTGGCGGCAGCAGCCCTGATACTGGTGAGAAGGGTTTGGGAGCGACGCGGGCCTGGTCTCGCCGCTGTCCTGGAGACTCGGCCCCCAGGCGTCCTCTCCTCCGCCCAGCTAGATCTTTGACGTGTCCCCTTTCACCATGCTTCTCCTCATCCCCGCACAGCCTCTACCCTGAATTTTCCTCTACTAGAATTTCACTTCCCCTTTCTTTCGTTCTATATTTTTATTTTGATGTTTTATCTCCCCGTGTACGAAAAGCCTTGTGCATTTGTTCGCAATGGGACGTGCCCACTCAACCTTGCATTCTGCTTTTCGCTGGCCCACCTGCCCTGACTACCCGGACTCCCACGATTTCCTCCCGACCCTGCAGTCTCTGCATTCTGGCCCCACTCGGGAAGATCTTAAGCCCCCAATGAATGTGTACTCTCTAGACTGTGTGCTCTCTAGACTCTCCCATTTCCTGATACGGTTAAGCAAATAGAATGTGATGACAGAGCACAGACTGGACCCATTTATCACAGATTGAAGTAATTCTGTGTGTCAAAAAGACTCAGTAGAGATGCAGGATAAAGCCTGCTGTGACCATATGCATAGCGGTCTTTATGTCCCAGAGTTAAGCACCCTAAATTTGCTCCCTCTAAATGAAGCAGTACAATAAATTTCAAGTTCTGATTTTCTTTGCCATTCCTCAGGAAACACAGCACTCATAAACACTTGCTCATCCATAAGAAAATTGTAAACTTTTCTCCCATAATAAGTGCTTGCTTAACATTTGCTTGGAAACTGATTTTTAAATAACTGTAAGGAAATCAGGTCCACAAATAACTGATTTCACTAGAAATTATTTTTCCTGATCAATGAAGGGAAAGAGTTTATATTGAGAACGTGCTGAAATTTGGAACGAACCTGACATATAGTTAATAGAGATGTTTCTCTGTCTTTTGGCATTTAGACTAGCAGCCTAGATAGCACACTGCCTGTAGGGACATTTTGCCATTCTCCCAGGCTGTCTAGTAGCTTAGAAACTATTTGGATAGAGAAAAAGCAATATATCCTGATTTCTTTGGCAATTTGTATCTGGGTAAGAGAAGTCTTCTCTTCCCTTTGTGGCATATGGAGATCTCAGGGTTTTTCAGATTTTAAGAGCCAGTCAGGTTTTTGGTGGGCAGAGTTGAGGCTAAATGCTAACATGAGTCTTCTGCACAAATTCAAATATGCTCATTATGACTGCTCATTATGAAGTTTTTCTGGGAGTATTTGATCCCACTGGCTTAAAGAGATAAGAAGAGCTACCACTTACCAAGTTCATACAATGCAATGAATATTCAATGTTTAATAGAGATTATCTCATTTGATCTTTAAAACAACACTGTGACATAAATGTGATCATTATTTTCATTTGGAGGAGGTTAGAGAAATGAATTAAACTCAGATGTCACACAGCTAGTGAAGGTTTGTCTTTTGAATGTCAGGGTAGGAAATCTTTCTGTATGTCTACAATATCTTATTTAGCTACCCTCCATACTTCTTTACATCCCACTTCCTTTCTGAATTAGTTTGAAGCAAGTCCAAAACAATATTTTATCTGTAAATCTTTAGCATTTACCTCTAAAGATAAGGAGCACCCCTTTTTAAAATAATACCACAAGAAGATTATCACAGATTTTAAAAAGTTTAACAATCATTCTGTGATTCAAATGCCCAGATGGTTCAGATGTACAGTTACCTCATGAATATCTTAGTAAAGTCTGTTCAGTCAGCATTTACACACTGCACTTGACTGACAGGTGTGAAGTCTATTAACCTGTCAAATTTCACCTCCCTTTTATCTTTTCCTTTAGTTAGTGGCTATTTGTCCCATAGAATCTCTCACAATCTGGATTGTATGGATTTCATTCCCTTGGTGATTTTTGAGATCTAGACACTAGGGGTGCAGAGCAAGAATTAATCATCTGTCTGCATACTGCTTCCTTGCTCCTACTCATCAGCACATTCATTTTCAGTTTGTACACAATGTAATATTATGAATGGATGAATGGCAAATTATAAATGAATAGCATTTCAAAACTTTGTAGATTTATTGTTTTGAGACAGAAACTATACTAGTATAAACAATGTTACAGATGTTTATTTTAAAGGTAGTTCCAAGTGCACATTTTATACAAAAGAAAATACTGTATTCTAACCAAATCTAGGATAAGTATGAAGAATATATTATTTAGCATTACTGACCCCTGCTATGGGAGTTGAGGTACGATCTCATACCCTGAGGGATTGAGGATCTGCCTTGACCCACACATATCAGACTGTTATATGGACTTGTTCTCTGTTAGATATAGGTTTCAAGTAAGGGTGAAACTTCACAGTTCGTGCCAGGGGTCAGGGTTCAGTGTATGTAAAAGTTGATTATATTTCTGTAGTGACTGTTCTCTGTGTTCAATCTGGAATGACAAAGAACTGCGGAATGAGAGCTGGGAAAACAAAGTTCCTCTAAGGCTTTGTACTTTAATGATAGAAAAAAGAATGGTAGGTGTTAAGAAGGAGACTGTCTCTGACTTTTGGATTTGCCTTCAGACCATTTTATTTCTAAAAATTCAGACCATTTTATTTCTAAAAATTCAGAATAAGAAAAGATATGTAATGGCTGTATCCTATAAGCATAACAAATGTTAAAAATGTCAGCATAACATAATTTTAACGTTTTTACCTTTAGATTGCCTTTGTTGCATTTATAACTGCTACAGAAATGCCACACCTTCACCAACATGAAGAAGAAAAGTTCTTCTTAAATGCCAAAGGCCAGAAGGAAACTTTACCCAGCATACAGGACTCACCTACCAAACAGCTTTCTGTGGTTGTGCCTTCATACAATGAAGAAAAACGATGTAAGTCCTGTTTTATTTTTTTGGCAAAGGGTAGTTTGGGAAGTAAAAAAAATTATCATATTATACTTCACTGTCTGTGGCAGAACATTAATAGACGTATTCTATGGTGAGTTCATCATTGGTAGTGGTAGTGAAGAAGAGGAGAAGTGATATTAACTGTAAAGAAAAGAATCAGTGTCATAAAGAATGGTACTGAAATACTCTGGGGAAACTACGTAAACAGAAGACAGATGTCCTAGATAGGGGTGGCCACTGGGGAAAGGGATTAATTTTATTACTCAGATTTTTTTTTTCTCTATGTAAATTGCTGGGACTTGAGAAATGATTTCAAAAGGGATTTTTAATGTGTGTTTTTCTCTTTAAGTGCCTGTAATGATGGATGAAGCCTTGGGCTATCTAGAGAAGAGACAGGTATCATCTTCCTCTTTCAATATCCTGTGCCCAATGAATACCAGACCAGGTCACCAATGTGTGAACACCCAGCTGGACCCACTAGGAGGGGCAGTACATGGTACAAAAATAGGGGCACTCACTATTTTTCTTTAAGCAGAGAAAAAAAGAGGAAAATAAATCAGAGGGAACTCTCCAGAATAGTGCAAAAATAATTTCACCCTGATTATAACCTTTTTTCAAATAGACATCTTCTTTAAAAAGGTGCAAAAGCGGGTTAAAGCACAGCACCGCGGAGGTGACCCACATGGCGCAGCAGACCTCTCCTGACCTGCCCGCTGCTCCCCTCAGCAGTGTACTTCATCAGTCAGCCTGTTCTGCTTCCCACTCTATTTCTGTTGAGCCCTCTCATCACCCCTGTACCTCTGGCCTGTTCCCCAGTTCTGTATGCATAGATAAATAAATCTTTAAAAAAAAAAAAAAAACAAAGGCGCAGAAGTAAAAATAGCTTTGTGCACAGGCCATCACACCCTGTCGGCCTCCTGGTCTGTTTTGCGCATGCCACCATCTGTTAGCAGGCAGGCCCAGAAGTAGCACACCACTTCGAGGGGCAAGTAGCTTACTCCCAAGCAAACAGAAAAGCTGGAACTCCTGAAAAGTGAACTTCCCACCTGCTTTTTATCCTCTCTTGCCTAATATATTTTAAATTAGGTGATAGGTATCTGCAGATTCTGCAAGGCAACATAATGCTATTTTCACTTTTGTGCCTTTTCAAGGAAGATGTCTATTTGGAAAGGTTTACAATTAGTTTCCTGGTTTATTTTCCCCTTTTTTCTCTGCTGAAAGAGAAGAAAAGTAATGTGTTTTTGTATCATGAGCTGTCCTTGAAATGCCCTTGGATTGTTTAAGAAAATAAGTGAACTTTGTAACTGGTTGTCTTTTTAGGAAATTCCTATTAAGATTGACTTTGGTCTTAGAGGTTTTGTATAAAGAGAATGTATTATTCATTGAAAGACAGGGTGTCATATTAACTACTCAGAAATTAAGGAGGAAGAGAAATGGTCTTTTATTGTATGTGAGTCTTCAAACTATCTAAGCTTGCTTTTATTGGAGGGCGGGGGAAGCAAATGTTGAGATAACAAGCTAAAAAATGTAAACTTCCCATTGTCATAAAACTAAGAAGTGGTGCAGCTGTGTTGGTCTCTATACACTCTGACTTTAGGCCTGAGGGGCTCTTTTCTTGAATAACTTGGGACCTCTCTCAAGTGTGCCCAGCACCTCAGCACCTTGATACTTTCTGTGTATATGGTACCGGGGGCCAGGGAAGCATGGGAGGCTTACAGAGATTGAATTAGTATTTGCCCTGTGCTTCTGTCCAGTCTGTCACCTCCTTTCTGTTCCTGGCATTTTATGTGGCTTGTGCACTTTCTTTTTTTTTTTGCATTTATACACATTATTATATAATTGCTTTTTTAAATTCCTCAAAATTTTACTAAAATTCTTGGTAGTTGTATGTCAAATCATGGGATTTTATTTTTGCTTCTTGTAGAAACATGATCCTACATTCACTTATGAAGTGATAGTAGTTGATGATGGCAGCAAAGACCAGACTTCAAAGGTAAGTAAACGTGTTTCTGTAGTTGCCAATAGATAGTAAATGTACAATAATTGAGCAAATATAAAATCTTCTTTCCACTTGTCAGAGAACCATAGTTATTTCAGTTGCTTTCCTTTGATACAGTGTGAGTAGAGTATATTTCTGAAAAATATACATGCTGTCCCTCCATTCCATAATACTCAGGAACCTTTTAAGATCACCAAGTTGGGAGAGAGCATACACACTAGTTTGCTTTGACCTCAAGGGAGCTGTCTACTAAGTCTTGGCTCTTTTTCTCCTAAGCATTGTTCTTCTCCTTATGCTCCACCTTGCTTAATTTCTAAAGTAATTGTGCAAATAGGAAGATGTCTTCATATCTGTCCATGGGTTACAGACATAACTCCAAGGTGTGTTCTTTAGTATACTTGCCCTGGATTTATCCATGTGAAGCTGTATGTCTTAGAGTGTTACCCTCCTGTTTCTGCATTCCTAGGTCTAAAACTGCTGGTGCACTAATCCTTGCAGTAACTTTGTAAAGTATTGCCAGTGATCCCGATAAATTACTCTCTTAATATCTAAAAACTTCTTAACTCCTTTGATACTCCTGTTTTTTTTTTAATAAAAGTTTTGCTTATGCCACTGTTCGTTTTCTCATTAAATAAATTGGACTTTAAATATACAAGGAAATGTCTATTTACCTGTTTATTAATTAGCAGAGATTCTTGTTAGATACCAACTGGTCACTAAGCTTTAAACACTGGGTGGACCATAGAAGTACATAAATCTGCCCCTCCTTGCAAGGAGCAAAGACAGGGAGAGTCATGCTGCCTACAGCTTTTGTAACTCTTGTAAAAATTAAGGTTAAGAAATAAAGGTTATAAGGCATTTGGAAAAAAAAGAAGTGATTGAACTAAACTTTTAAAGATAGAGTGGTAAAGCATATGGAAGATAGTGTATTTAGGTTGAAAAATAGTGTAAACAAAGGGACCAGAAAATATTGGTGGGATTTGTTTTAGGAAGACTGTGTGCTGCACTTTCATTAGTGAATTAGTGACATGAAGACACATAATCCAGCAGCTTATTAATATGTGCAGGGAAAGGCATAGAAAATAAACCTTAGGCATTTAGTGCTGAGATCACAGAAGCAGCATCAACCAGGCAAGGAGCAGTTTTTCCCAAAGATGCAGTTTTTCCTTCGAGGCTCCATGTCATGTGCATGGCAGGCGGCTCTCCTGGGAGGACCAGTAAAGGAGAATCAACTCCTGCTGATGGCAGGAACAGAAAACTTGAAATCATATTTAGTAGAAGCTTTTATTAAAAAAAAACAAACAAAAAAACACACATTCCCTGTAAGTTGAATGTTTATTATCTGCCTGTTATGTGTCTCACTCTCTAAGGTGTATCAGAAAAAAATTAAACATAGGTCTTGTTCTTAAGGAGTTTTAAACTAAGGAGGCAAATTTATATACAAAGCCTAAGAGGGAATTAACAGTTAAACAGTATATTTATTATAAGTTTATATAGTCTAGGATGCCAGAAAGGTAAGCACTCAGTATGGCAGGCAAGTGACAACTACTGCAGTGTTTTAAAGACACTCTAAAGTTTCCGTATTCACGTATCCCAACAGGTGTGGCTTCAACAATATTTGCTTTGTTCAAACTATAGATCACAGTCCCTTGTGAAGAGTCTTTGCAGGGAACCTGGTACTGATTCTTTTGGTACACATGGTAATTACCCAATGACTCTGTCTTCCTGGTTTTGGAGTCTTGTATTGAGTACCAAGCTTGATGTCATTCCAGAACCAACATCTGCAACTCAAATATTCTCTTAAGAAACATTTCTTAAGCCGTTAGCATGTGTCTAGGTCTGTGACTGGTACTAAAACAAAAAGATCAAGACTTGTCTCTGCCTTCAAGGAACTCACTTCCAAAAACTGGGGACATGTATCAGAAAGCTAGAATACAGTATGTTTCAGTCACCTTCCCTGGGTAGCTTAGCTAACAAAAGTCATTTAGTTGCCTCATGATTAAGGAAATGTGGACATTGTTGTTCCAGGAATTCTCTCAGCACTTAAATAGTGTCAGATTGGTGGATCCATATCTTTTTAGTTCTCACATATTCCCTTGCCTCAAAATGGCCACAGTTCCAAATTTTGCTTTTTCTAAAGCAGTAAGAGGCAGGAAAGACATTAAGAATTATCTTTGTGCTTCTCTCCTTTTTTACTGGCTATAAAAATCTTTACCAGTAGCCTCTACCCTCCAGCACACCTCCTCTAAAGGCCATGAGGCAGAACTTGGTGACATGGCCAACCATGCCCACAGAAGGGCCGGGAAATATGTGGCAAAGAAGACTTAGACAACCATGGTTTATCTCCTAGGACTGTGCTGTCACTGTGCAAAATTGGAGCCATTATAGCAAGAGAGAAGGAGGCATTGTTTGCTAAGCAGGCAGTTAACTTTACCACCGTGCTATCATAGGAGTATGTACAGAGGACTGTGGCAGCATATGTGTGTTGAGATTAATCAATCCAGGCTATGTTTCACACGCTAAAACTATTATTCTTTGTCTAAGTGACTCATAGTTATATTATGTGATGAGTGAAAAACTGTTTCCTATTCAAACTATTGTATAGGAAAATGACTTCACAGCTCATTTTATGTTTACATACAGTTAGAGTTAACCTTTTTTCTGGAGAGAAATGTGGATGGACATTGAAAGTAGGAAGATGTATTTGAGCTTCCTCTTAAACTGGTTAACAGGAGGGCAAACACCAGAATGGAGTCACTTCGCAAGTGTCTAAGGAAAATGAGTGTCAAAAGCAGAGGATGCTATTGGTGAAGTGAGGGCAAGATGATATGGAAAAGCAAGGGACATGAGCTTCTGCTGCAGTCTGCTACAACGGGCTGAAGACTGAGTGATGACAAAATGTGCAGCGCAATTTTACATAGATCACTTTTTCATGACTTTGATAAATCAAAGAATAATAGCAGTTGCTTAAGTTAAAGGAAAGATTTTAACTTACTGGAGTCTTGAGCACATTTGTGGCTGAGGAACCACTGGAAAGAAAGAAATTTAAGACTTAGTAGAGAACAAGGTACCCCAAAGATATATGCTGAGAAAGAGACAGAGGAGATTTTGGGGAAAAGGTCCAGGATACAGACAAATTCTCCTTGGAACTAAATCTTGCTGACAAATAACATGTCATTAAGCAATCGTAGGGGCCCTAACATGAATGTGTGGCAGTTTGGACATAGCTTTTATGTTTTTCTAGCAGCTCAGTATCTTAGGTAGTAGCTTTATTCAAGAGAATGAAGTGATCACTACCTCTTCTGGTGGTTCCTCTGTGGGGAAGTGAATCATCACTTAAACCTTGTAAGTCAGTAGATTGGGTCTTTGTACCAGGAATTCAGCAACTCCGCAGGGCTACCAGCATGCACGGTAAATGTAAAAATCAACTCACAGGAAAGGGGACCTGGGATAGCTGTGTTTATATGAAAATGAGAAATCCAATTTATGTTACTGTCCTGTAACTCAGATTAATTTTGTTCTGACTTTTATATAATTTTACAGGTAGCTTTTAAATATTGCCAGAAATATGGAAGTGATAAAGTACGAGTGATAACACTGGTGAAGAATCGTGGGAAAGGTGGAGCTGTTAAGATGGTAATGTATAGCTCAGCATGTTAATCTAAAATATGTAGATATTTTGAATAACCTATTCTGTAAACTATAGTACATGTACATTCTATAGCTGACTAGTTGAATATCAGCATTTCAAGTTAATGGCATATCACTTTTAATAATACTGTCATAAGAGGAAAAAAATGTGATCAAATCTTAAAATATCATGCCATATTTATATCATACTGAGTGACTTGGAAAAATGTTTATATTAATTTTTTAGTGACCTTAAGTAACTAAGACAATGACAGTGATACATTGGTATAATAATCCTGTCTCACCTACTGCTCCCCTCAGCAGTGTATTTCAGTCAATCTGCCTGTTCTGCTCTCTACTCTGTGTATGGTGAATCCTCTCACCACCACCTCCACTCACCACATCCCAGCTTCTGCATGCATAAATAAATAAAATAAATATTAAAAAAAAAAAAAGGATGAGGGAGCTTAAACAAGTTTGAGGGTCAAAGATAATTTTGCATTAATGTTGTTTATAAGTCATTCTTATCATGTATCATTAAAATAGTCACTTATGGTTTCCTTTTTTCCACTTTAAATTTAAATTCAGATATTGTACCTGGTAGTGTTTTCTACTTTCTAAAGCTTCATTTATGTTATTCAGATCTTAATATGATTTTAAAATTGTTCCTTTTTATTTTCTTACCTATATTCTAATAGGTATAATAAAAAGATTTCACGTAGATTAATTAATGGTCTTATATCTTGAAATTAATTATCAGATTTCTATCTATATTTGTATAGTGTGTATTGAAAACAGATATCTTACCTTTATTCACATATTGAATGATATCAAAACCATATATTACTGTATCAAACCATAAATATTTAAATTTAAGAAACAATGAACTTAGTCAGATGCAACATAGAATTAAAGTTGGTATATGAAATATACTCTCATAGAACCCTAGTTTGCACAAAAGACCAGTTTGAAATTGACTGAGTAATTTTACTTAGTGGCATTCCATATTTCTTTATTCAACAATTAGTGAGATACTTTAGATTCCATGTTAAAGAATACTAAGATTGTCTTCTTATGATTTATTTTATAGCAGCTCTGTATATTTGTTCAATCTTCCCATAAATTTACTCTTCATAGTCTGCCCTAAGTAGCCCCTTACCTCCTTGAGCACCTTGCTATGTAAGCAGGATACTTGTAATGTTTATGGTACAATATTACTCTTTTCTTATTATTGATACAGAAATAATTCTGATTTGTCCAAATCTTTTATTCTCATGATATTTTTGAGCTATCATAGTAGTATGAGCTCACAAAATTTTAAAAACATAAAATATACAATGAATGTATTGGGGATAATCTTATGAACCTAATTTGTTTTATGTAAACTGTTTACTCTTGCCATTTAATGAAAATATATCACCCATAGATATTTTTTGTAAAGCAGAACAGATTTATGTGTCATTGAATTTAGCCTTAATTTTAAGCATCTTTATTCTAATTGAATTTTTAAATACAGGGTATATTTAGTTCTCGAGGGAAAAAGATTCTTATGGCAGATGCTGATGGAGCCACAAAGTTTCCAGATATTGAAAAACTTGAAAAGGGACTGAATGACCTACAGCCTTGGCCTGTAAGTATAAGTATGTAGTTTAAATGATGTTTAGTCAAGATATATGGGGTCACTTTACACTTAAGATTAAAATGGAATCTACATATAAGTTAAAAAATGGCGAGGTTCTTTTGGTATGAAATTCCTATATACAGTTAGAAGAAGAGATAATCATTTTGTTAAAAACATTCACTGATTTTTGAGATTTACTTAATAATTACTTAGTATTCTGGCCATCTCTTAAAACTTTTAATTACTTCCACTAAAATTTTAATATTTATCATGCAGCTTTATTTAAAGATTTAAACCAATTTTTATTTAAAGCCGCATTGTAAGACTTCCAGATATAGAAGTGAAATGAGACAGAATCATAGTATATTCTGTTGTTAAAACAGAAGATCATAAGCAGTAACCACCCAAAAATCATGTGCAGTTTCATGCTATAACTTCAGAAAAGTGGAGCTGAAAAAGTGAAAAAATCCTGGTGCCATTTCACCCTTTAAAAGACATTTAATGAAAACAGTTGAATTTTTATCAAATTTTAATCTTTTTTTTTTTTTAAAGATTTATTTATTTATTCATACAGAACTGGGGTACAGGCCAGAGGCTCAGGGGCGGTGAGAGGCTTCACCAGAGACACAGTGGGGAGCAGAACAGGCAGATCCACGAAGTACACTGCTGAGGGAAGCAGCGGGCGGGTCAGGAGAGGTCTGGCTCGCCATGTGGTCTCCTCCAGGGCAGGCGGCAGGCGGGAATTGAACTCATGCGGAAGTGGCTTCAGATTCTCAGTGCTGTGCTTTAACCTGCTGCGCCACCAGGGAGGGCCAAATTTTAATCTTTTATCAAATATGTCCAATCTGGAAATAGTAATTCTGGGAGAATGATTGAACACTCTAGGACAACACCATGTTGTTGTCCTAAACAGGTGCTGTCCTACATGGTTTTGTAGGACAGTATCCCAGAATTTCAGCCAAAGCAAGCAAAGTATAAGCTTCAAGCTAATTTAGGGGTACGCTTCCATGTTATCCCTTAGTGGAATATACCTTTGTACAGGACATGACAAAAATCATGTAATAGCAAGGAACCCAGCAAAGTCACATAGAGGTGTAGGAGTGCTCTTTTCCTTTAATCTGTCCTCTGTCCACACCCCCAAGTATCATACCTAGGTTTTGAAACTCTAGTTCAGAGGAGAAAAATATGTATCACAAAAGGTAGAAGTATATATTAAAAAGCATTCATCAGGCCCTCTCTGGTGGCGCAGCAGGTTAAAGCATAGCACTAAGAAGCTCAAGCCACCTCCGCATGAGTTCGATTCCCCCCTGCCCCGGAGGTGACCACATGGCATGGCAGACCTCTCCTGGCCCGCCTGCTGCTCCCCTCAGCAGTGTACTTAGTCGATCTGCCTGTTCTGCTCCCCATTCTGTCTCTGGTGAATCCTCTCACCCTCCGCATCTCTGGCCTGTAACCCAGTTCTGTACCAATAAAAAAAAAATCTTTAAAAAAAAAGCATTCATCAATACTCTATGAAAGCTACCCACATTGCCAAAACAAAATGAAAAAAATGGCAGCTACCCCAAAAATCTTATGCTAAGGAAAGATGAACCCTAGGTGAAAGACAACATAAACCAAGGAAAATCACAAAACTACTTGAGAGTATTCATGCTAAGGAAATAACACTTGCAAAAATAAGCATTTAAAAACATGCGCATTTGATGACAAAATAATAGGATGCTATATAAAAGAGAAATTACAGGGCCCTACCGGGTGGTTCAGTGGGTTAAAGCACAGCACTAAGAAGCTAAAGCCATTGCATAATTCAGTCCCCACCCTGGAGGTGACCACATGGTGCAGCAGACCTCTCCTGACCCGCCCGCTGTTCCTCTCAGCAGTGTACTCTGTTGATTTGCCTATTCTGTTCCCCACTCTGTCTCTCTGGTGATTCCTCCTGCTGCCCCTGCACCTCTAGCCTGTACCCCAGTTCTGTATGCATAAATAAATAAATCTTTAAAAAAGAGAGAAAGAGAGAAATTACAGAACAATGAAAATAAATTGAGGGCCAAAATAATATTAATAAATAAGATCTATACATGATTGAAATAGACCTAACTTAAAACATTATTATGTATTTGCTAAAAAAAAATCCTTACTTTTATTGCAAAAAATAAACAATAAAAAATAACACAGATACAGAAACCATTAAACAATAGCTCCCAAGACAGGAAATTTAATAATAATTACACAAACTACTTCCTACTAGATCCTACTTCTTAGAAATAAGTTATTTATTTATGAAGTATTCTGTTTCTTCTTCCACCACCAGCCATTCCCATTCCTTTCCAAAAGTTTTTTTTTAAGATACTGAATAAATTACTGTAATTGAAAAGAACTAACCTGAATATATCTGTTGTGATCTTTATTGTTCAAAACAGTAGCTACTAGCCACATAAGGCTATTTCAATTAAATAGAATTTTAGTTGCTCAGTATTACTGTCCACATTTTAGATACTTGTGAATAGTAGCTGGCTAGTACAGGTATAGAGCATTTCCATCATCACAGAAAGCTCTGTTGGACAATGCTACATATACCACACAATATGAAATTATTGAATATGTCACGTGTTTGCTTTACTAAAGTAGTTCTTTCACCTCTTAGTAAATCATGGTAAGCTAAAATAAGTTGTTGACTTTGATTTTCTAATTTTGCCTAGTTGTTTCCCCACAGAGAAATGATAAATGTGTTCCCTGCATATTACCCCTCTACCTTTGAGAGTCCTGAGTAGGAGGAAGTATGGAAAGTGTCAGATTGTTAGCAGCTGAGTTTATTATTCTATAGTAGAGCAAAGAAAAATAATGTAGCAAAAGTTAGGGGATAAATCAGACATAAACAGGAAAAAATTTCTGAAATTTCAGCTTGTAAATTTAGTTCTCTTCATACTACTCTGAAAAGGAAAGGGAGTTCTGATGCCATTTTTTTTTTTTCCCATCATAATCCAGTTGTTACTGTTTTAAACTACTAAAAGATGTGATTATCATTAAGCTCTTAATTCATAGCCTTGGTTTACAACATCTCAGGGTATACTAAAATAAGAGTATATCACAATCTACTAGAATAATTTCAACTCAGTATAGAAAAGACTTTTTTTTTGAATTTTTATTTATAACAGTTTATTTTTACATCATTTTGTACATTTTTTTTTCCATCTCAATTGTAATCCCTGCGGGTTTCCCATCATCAAGTCACCCGTGTGCCATCACCATAATCCCGTGTACTTCCCTCTCCACTGCCCCCCATTTTTGATCCCATTCCCCACTACACCCTCACAAAACGTCTCTGGTATATGGCTGTTCATTATTCTTGCTATTTTCTTACCTGGTCCATTATACTCCTGCTATGAGTGAAATCATCTGGTATTTTTCTTTCTCTTTCTGGCTTATCTCACTAAGCATGATCTTTTCCAGCTCCATCCAAACTGCTGCAAAAGACATGTGTTTA